TTATTCACACTTGACAGATGGTGTACAAAGTCATTTTGTGCATCATCAATGAAGAGTCAATGCCTTGTTCTCTAAGTTTCTTTAGATATAAGAGGCATTGGGGGGCAAATGATGGGTCAAGCCCAAGAAAAACCCAATTTATTTGGAAAACTCAAATCTCAATTGAAAAGCCCAGTCCTATAAAGACCCATTAAGCCCAATATTGTCCAAGTCCAATCAAACTCATCAGTTTGGCTACGTCATCAAGAGAGAGAGAGCACAAGAGCCTCATCTGCACCGCCAAGAAAACAGTCTACCCTCACCTTATCCTTGACCGCATCTCATGGAGAGTACCTCAACTACCTCGCCCATTGAGAAGAAGTCGTGAACTCCACCGAAATGGTTACTTAGTTACTGTAAAATAGCCCAAACCTGTTAGGAGGCCACTATAAATTGCACGCCCCACTAACACTTGGGGGCATCACACTTTACTTGAGCACGACTCTCTCCTCTCCCTCAAAACTTATACTCTTTGTTTCTCACACCCTTGAGTTAATAAAGTATCCGGCGACCAGAGCCATTCAAGAGTGGACGTAGGTTGAGTTGACCGAACCACTATAAATTGTTTGTGTCTCTCCATCTCCTTACTTTAATTACTGCATTTATTATTCACACTTGACAGATGGTGTACAAAGTCATTTTGTGCATCATCAATGAAGAGTCAATGCCTTGTTCTCTAAGTTTCTTTAGATATAAGAGGCATTGGGGGGCAAATGATGGGTCAAGCCCAAGAAAAACCCAATTTATTTGGAAAACTCAAATCTCAATTGAAAAGCCCAGTCCTATAAAGACCCATTAAGCCCAATATTGTCCAAGTCCAATCAAACTCATCAGTTTGGCTACGTCATCAAGAGAGAGAGAGCACAAGAGCCTCATCTGCACCGCCAAGAAAACAGTCTACCCTCACCTTATCCTTGACCGCATCTCATGGAGAGTACCTCAACTACCTCGCCCATTGAGAAGAAGTCGTGAACTCCACCGAAATGGTTACTTAGTTACTGTAAAATAGCCCAAACCTGTTAGGAGGCCACTATAAATTGCACGCCCCACTAACACTTGGGGGCATCACACTTTACTTGAGCACGACTCTCTCCTCTCCCTCAAAACTTATACTCTTTGTTTCTCACACCCTTGAGTTAATAAAGTATCCGGCGACCAGAGCCATTCAAGAGTGGACGTAGGTTGAGTTGACCGAACCACTATAAATTGTTTGTGTCTCTCCATCTCCTTACTTTAATTACTGCATTTATTATTCACACTTGACAGATGGTGTACAAAATTATTTTGTGCATCATCAAAATATGTTAATATTTTTGTTGAACATATTAGTATTATTATTATTTTTTAAATATTAATATTGAATGTTTCAATTTTATTTATGTTTAAATATTACTATTTTTTTGTGTTTAAATGTATTGTTTTTATGTCCAAGTGGTAATTTTTTTTTTTGTATTTGAATGTTACTATATTTTATTTTTAATATTACTATATTAATATATATATATATATAAGAGAAAAAAAATTTTAATGTTAGTCAAACTTTTAACCTATATATGGATATAGATAAATATGAGAGAGAAAAAATTTTAATGTTAGTCAAACTCCTAAGATTTAGGAGTTTTTAATTTTTAGTTTTATTCTACTTTTAAAGAAAATGGATAGTACGGTAAAATTGACAAAAAATTGATTTTATAACAAATAAGTTTCCTTGACGAACTTAAGTCCAAACAAGTCCATATAAAGGGATCGGACTCTAAATTTTTCAAATAAATAAAAACAATTTATTTCAAATTTTGACCATTAAAAATTTATCCATGCATCATAAATATTTTAGTTTCAGCATGAGTGAACTGTCTTTAAACAGATCGGAAAGGAGACGAGGACATCCCTAACCGTTAAATCAAAAAAAACAAAAGGAAATAAAGGAATAACCACAACAAATGACCACAGATGGGTAAACCAATTAATCCAGCTAGTTGTCTTCTCAAGTAAATTGCAGTTTTAGGATCGAACTCTTTGTCGCTATTAGTCATTGGCATTTTCACTTATTCAATGGTGCATTGGTTGTTTTATTATCTCTTTTTTTTTTCCTTCGGGTAAGCGTTGTGTATACTGCATCCTATTCGGCTTGAAAGATGGGTTGCGATCTACAGACAACCAGAGAGAAAATCCTCTCTTGCTTCTTATCAGCTTGGTTCCTGGACTTGCCTATTGTAGTCATACCTTTCCCTTCAACTCTTACGCTATGTTTACAAACTAATCGTTGGAACAAAACCCTAAACCCTAATCAATGAATGATAAGGGCAGGGGCCAGGATAAAAAATAAAAAAAAGTTGACAAATTTCAGCGTGATTAATCAACCTAAATCAAAATCGATATGAAGTTACAAGTTATATGGATTTAATCTTCACCTATTCAAGTCATAGTTGATTTGACCTGTCAAGCCTTCTTTATAAACGGATAGTATATGTATAGAGTCCATTTTAATTTGATAAAATTTATTATCAGTCCTAAAAGAGAGTATTCGTCACTTTCGTGAAGGTCTAATAAATTCACTTCCCCACCCCCCAAAAAAAAAAAGTTTAAAGACAATAATGACAATCTGAGTTATGACAACGATCTCATATCTATTGTCCATTTTTAGGTGACAGAGGGTCCCATGGCTGCCTCCTCCTTTAGGTCACAAGATAAACAAAAGTGTCCAAAACGTGGTGAAGGAATAGGGATGACAAGAGTTTCTTACTTCCAAGGTTCATACTCCCATTTCCAAAAGGTATCATGTCTCTTAGAAATTCTTTTATCTTGTCAGCTATTTGCATAAATACATGCGTGATAGATGACCACCTTTTGGGATATAAACTTATTTCATGTCTTCATTATAACTTTGATGTCAACAACCATTACAAAAGATATGAAGTCACCACATGAGATTAGAACATATGAACACTCTTCCCTCATTCAATAACTAACCCGCCACTCATCTAAGTTTTTTAAGGAAGTACCCTCTCTCTTTTTGGTTCAACGGTAGAGATGGTCAAGTTATGAAAGATTTATCTATCATTAATATCCTAATTTCGGTATGGATGATCTGACTTTAATCAGACCGAAGAGAAGATTAGTCGAGGTACGTATAAGCAGAAATACCCTTTTTATCATCCTTTAAATTTTCATAATTGTCGTTTTAATTTTTCCAGTGGTGGTGGTTGGATAGGTGGAAGGGTTAGGGAGGGGGAATGGAGGAGGGAGGAGAATAATCGTAAATCTTGTACATCGCTCAGGTCTATTGAGCATTTTATATAATTTGTTAATAGACCCTCCACTTTTTCTTATGACCATTAATAACCCATCTCTTCTATGCTGTTAATTACAAGGAAGGTGCATTGCATCTTATATACTTGTAGTGCAAATGGAGAAAAGCTTCCAAAAAGGTCATTTAATAGTATTATATGCAAGTATATAAGATGCAATGCACCTTCCTAGTAACTATCAACTCAACGTTGTATATAGAAGACAGTTGTTGACACCCTTAAACTTATCTATGCATCAATTAGTGGCATATGTTAACATTCATCATCGACTTCGTTGAAAGACTCATCATCTTCTTTGGTTCACTCTCATCGTATGTGAAGGGGACCAATCACTCTTGATGTATCCCTTTCGTATATGTAATTGTGAAATGGATCAGTTTGATTTCAGATGGAAGGGCTGATGCAGAAGGTACAGCGGAGGAGTATATGGTAGATCCGGTCCTTTGGATGTGACGTTTGTCGGGGGGGGGGGGGGGGGGG